AAGGCATAACCCTAACCCGGAAATCGGAAACCATTAATCTGTACCCTAATCCTAACCTCAAACGTAAAACGGAAGCCAAATGGGTCAGATGTGATTATAGAGCCCCACAAAATAGCCTCAGTAAACAAACCGCCACCACCTATAATACGGGGCCTGGCTATCAACTGCGATCTAGCCCCTCTCCGTTTAGGAATGGGAATGGAATGCGGGTAAGTGCTGAGGCTACCGGGTTCGGGAACATAGGACCGACACCGCCATCTGGTTGAGCTCGCCGACGATAGACAGTTTCCTCAATGTGGCGTTCGTATAGGGTTCGTCTTTATGGAACCACAAATAAATGCTAGGTTCCAGGGCCGGATGAAATAAAAGTGTACACCACGTAAGTCGGTGTGTTCGGGCGGAACAGTAAATGCCTAACTGGGCAAAGGCCAACCAGCCAAAATTTACAGCACCAAAGTAATGTGAGCTCCCGACCACGAAACCGCGCGCACTCCAATCCTCTTCTTTGTCCAGCTCATTCCTCTCCTCTCGCCCTCCTTTCCGTTCTCTCCAAGGACCTTCAACTGTTTAACAGTGACGTTATTGTGGTTGCTAAGATGTGCTTTAATTCGACTTCACTATTGGGAAGGTTAACTTTCACGGTGCTATCTCAGCCTTGACCGCCTACACGATAACTACCGTTTTCTCCGCAGAACTTTTATACTCGGCGGAGGGAGAGACCTGCCCACGCTTGCTGCGCTACGACTGGTTTCTCCCCACTGACTGAACCAGGCCACGCCCACACAACCTTGTGCTGTAAAGAAGGCCAAACAGATCACTCTTCTTGGGTTTAATCCGCTGGTCAACGAAGTCTGGGGTGTTTTCCAGTCACCTACAGCACAGCTCGTGACCTTCGGGCGCTGGCACTGATGGAGGGACTGCTCTGCTGGAGTGGGTCTGAACCATGATCTGGACCCGAAGGACTAAGGTTTTTGATGACTCATGACAAGGTATCAGCAAATTCATTTTCCTATTCACGGACTCGATAAGTGTTGCAGGAAAAACCAACGAGGTGAGGTCGAGTGGGAACTTCGCAACGACAGAGCTCAGCCGGTTTTGGTGGTTACGGTTTTATCACGTCGAGGTCACCAATGTCGCAGAAGCTGAAGCCACGCTGAAACCCTTGCCACTACGACTTTCAGGCTCGGTTCCGAATAGAAAGAGGAGCGGAACGCCAGTAGTGAGAATGGTGTATTCTGCACAGAATAACTGGAGAAAGGGTTGGAGAGAGTTGACGGCCGGACAAGGGTATGCCCGGCGTCGGGGGGAGGGGGGGGGGAGCGGCGACCGAAGTGATAGTGGGAACTGCGTCCCAGCGCCTTGCGCGAGAGCACGCATTAGTTGGCCAGTTTGGGCAGCCGTGATTGGCCGAGAACCAGACAGGCAGTGGTGCGCACGTGCATGTACTCGCTGCAACAGGCGCCCAGAGTAGGGCCACTACAAACTGTCGAACGGGATGAACATGCAGCCAGGGTCCATTCAGCGGTATTACCTCAGCACGGTTGGACATCGAACTTGCACATCTGTGTCCTATGAAAAGGTCACAGGTCACAGCAACAGTGCGGCACAGTGGATGTTGCCTGCCAGCAAACGAGGCTCCACCCGACATCCTGCACGGTCAGAGAACCACAAACTGACGTGAAGAAGATGAGAATGGAGACATCGGCCCTCAAATTCAGAAGATTATTTTTCCATTAAGCCGTCCCACGCAAACGCTGTTCCCAGAGCCACGGCTTAGTCGGTTGTTTGAACTCTCGGAGGACTATTGTCAGTGCGCTCTTGTCGGACTGAACGAAGGTCAATTGTACCAAGAGGTGTAATTTGGGACTTGGCAACAGCAGCAGTGTACGCCTAGACTACGGCCACAAACACAGGGTTTCCCATCCAACAGCAACACAGTTCACTCCACTATAAGAGCGGGATGCTATAGAGAGGTGGATTAAATTATCAAAAGTCAATTACGCATGCCTCGGACAAGGAGTAAAACAGTACTGTCTCCAATAACTGAGGTAGTGTTAATAATGTGCAGTTTCGAGTCACTACCGTCTAGTTTTTTCGGAATTTGAGCCTGTGATCTGCACAACGGGTCCATACAATAAAACCAATCGAAAATGGAAACAACGGAATTCAGAGGTGAAAATGGGCAAGAAGAATATCGGCAGTAAATGTTGTCCACAATCTCCAGGTGAACGTTTTTATTAAAAAGAGTGAGTTTCATTTTCAAAGACCCTTGAGTGAACTTAGACATGCGGCAAGCCACCTAAGTAGATTGGCCTGCATTGCACTCTGCCTTAACAAGTACCTCCGAGGTCGCGCAAAGGAGGTGAGCCTTTGTCGTGAGAATACTAACAACCGAAGACAATTGGTTGGCTCATTCAATGAGTGGTTCTGTTTAAGCACGCACAATGCCTACTGCCGTGCAGTTTGGCCCGCATAATTACAGAGACATTTAAGAAATGGATGGAGGTAGATCACATAAGATTCCTTGTTAGGGACTTAATCTTCTTTATGTTTCTTGAAGGCGCTTCGTGTGATGCCTTCGAGTCCGTTTATAATCAGAACATGGAGTCCCACAGTAAAGCATCCAACCGCCTCAGAAATATATTCAAGAGCTTTTCTGTCTCCCATCAGTGTGTCGCCAGTTGCTATCAGAACAGAGAGAGAGAGAGAGAGAGAGAGAGAGAGAGAGAGAGAGAGAGAGAGAGAGAGAGAGAGAGAGAGAGAGAGAGAGAGAGAGGAATCCGCTTTATTTTGAAACCATAAATTCAAAATTTTCGGCAAAAAAATGGCACCGTTCACTATGGGCAGTAAATAAGTTAATAGATTATTGCCGAGTCTGAAAGTTTAACACAAAAGGAACGACTATTATGAAGACAGTTCAAATCTTAGCTTCTGTATTTCTATCTCTTCACACGTGAGATAGCGCGCCAGGAATGGCAATACAGAAGCTCGAAAAGCCGATGTGCGACAAGACATAAGTCGGGAGCTGCGGCGCATCGGGCGGGAAGACCTCGCAGAAATAAGATAAGAATACAAGGGATGGGCAACGTCATCTATAATCCGACTAGCAAATTGCTTGACCGCATGGAAATGTCGTTGCAGGATAGTGTCGACTAAAAAAAAAGATAAGAAACACCAGCGGCGGAATAGAGTATTCGGGGGACTCGTTTTAAAATTAAAAGATCTTTTTTTGAGTAAAGCAGGAAAAATGACAGGAGGGCAGTATAGGATAAGAAGGAGAATGCAGGCATCGATGAATCGCCAGACTAAGGGTTGAGGTGTGTGGTAGGAACGTAAACGACGAATGTAATAAAGAAATTTACGAACTTCAGTAAATAGGGACTCAATATGGAGGGAAAATGAAAGATTAGAGGACAAATTAACGCCAAGGCACCTGAAAGAGGATACCTCGTTAGGAAGGATGCCGGAGGATCCAGGACTGGGGGAGGGCCGCAGCCGGCAAATACACTGAACTGATTTTTGGTTGTTCATTAGGAGACCATTTTCCTCTGAACATACTAGGACATGGTTGAGGCCATCCTCTAGAGACTGGAGGTGTGTCCGATTTTTGAGAGGGTGTCCAGCAACCACATTATCAACATACTTAACCAAAAGACAGTCGCTAGTGGATCTTAGATAGTCGGTGTGGAGGAACAAGGGGTGAGGGGATAGAATGGAACCTTGAAGAACTCCGCATTCACTGGGAAGGACCATAGATTTCGCTTGCCAGATTGGACAAATTGAGTACGAGAAGTAAAATAATCACTAAGCCAAGAGACGACCCAGCCTGGAGAGCCGCACGCGGATGTTTTGGTAAGGAGAAGAGGACGCGGGACGGTATGGAAGGCGGAGGAGTAGTCAAGAAGAGCGCATGCATACTCGCGGCAACCCTTGTTTAATTCTTTTAGAGCAGAGTGGACCACAAGAGCAACAGCATCTAAAGTACTGCGTTTGGCTTTGTATGCAAATTGTAAAGGGTCGGAAAAACTGGAAGAAAAAGGTTTTATGATATCTAGGGCAATTTTTTCAGCATGCTTTAGTAGTGCGGAGGAGCGGGTTTTTTAAGGGATGGGAGTGATTCTCAGTGTACGCCAGGCGTTGGGAACCTTGGACTCCATGAAAGACATATTAATAAGGTCCGTTAAAATAGGGGCTATCTGAGAACAACGAGATTTAAGAAGAAAAGGCGAGACACCATCCGGTCCGGCAGCTGTTGATCCACGGACCTTTTTAAGGTGTTTCTCTACTGTTGCCGCAGACACGGGTTGGAAGGCACGTGGTGATAGGGGAATGTTATCTGAGGGAAGATTGGAGTCATTGTGACTAAAGATACAATCTTATTTAAGGAGTCTAAATCAGCATCCACATGTACCAGTATGTTGCGATGACCAGTGAGAAGCTTAAGATTCTTCCAGAT